ATGTTAATTATCATAATATTTAATAAACAATTTTCATATATAATTCAATTAAGGATTTCTATGTATACCTCAACGATCGAACCTACGTGACTTTCTATAAATGGACAAAATTAAAACCATTACGAGTAATTTGAAGATTTATAAAATAAATAAACACAAGTAGTTACATATAAATTTAAATATGAACTTACTCCCAAATAATTTTTTTTTTCAAAATTCAAGTGATTATAAGTCCCCTAAAAGACTCACATTCAATTTCCACTTTTTTTTTTCCTACCGTGGGGGTGTTCTCCCACTTTCATATATCTAACAAGCCACGATTAGAAACACATGGTAATGTGACGATGTTCAAATCATATCAGTTTGACTTGACCATGTTGAATGTTTGAATATCAAAGCTTCTCAGTTTGACTTGACCAAACTAGCCACGTCTCGATTGATAGTAGCTTGTTGAACAGGTACCCAATGCGAGAGTTGTCTACGGTGACCTAACCAAAAAAAAATGGGCATCGTATTAATATTTATAATTTTTTTTGAATATTTTTATTATTTTTATAAATATTTTTATTATTATTGTAATAAAAAAAATAAAAATAATTACCATAACAATGATAAAAATTTTCTACAAAAATGATAAAATATAATACCATAGTCGGAGTCAATTTCTGTGTTTGAGATAACTTATGGATATAAGTTTCCTCAATCTAGAGAGTGAGATGCTATAAACTCTCAATTACGCCATCCAAGGTACCAACTAACAGTGTCATTTAAGGCCTATATTCAATGAAAAAATGATAGATGATCATCATTTATTACACGTATATAATTTTTTTATTAATAAAATACATCGCATGACATTGTCATAGAGTGACCTGTGAGCACCCAATAATTTCTCGTTTGTTTACCTTTCGCACTCATGTCTCTAACCCATGTGGTTCCTTTAAACAAGCTACGATTAGAGACATAGCTCATCTGGTCAAGTCAAACTGATATGTGATAATATTCAAATACATCAGAATGCAAGTCTATTTATTAAATGAGAGTAATAAAGACCCCAACGCCATGGGAAGACTATGAACAGTTCTCTTCCTTCACACCACTGCTATAAACAAAACATCAGAGAACTAACAACAGACACAAGCACATACAGATGAAGCAAGGAGATGGGTAAGGTCTAGGGTATAGTCCTTGCATCTTATTCCTCGATTTTAAATTAGATAATTTATAATTATTGATTGAAAAAATAATTAATTATTAAAACATTATACTTGATCCATTTTTATAGAATTAAAAATAAAAAATACAGTACCAAATTATGATATTTCGGTACTGTAATAGAAATCTTTATTATGATAAGATGCATGGGAACGGACACAGTGATTTTGATCTTAGAGAGGAAAAGGTCAACTCTTTGGTATAGTTTAATGATCAAATTTGTCTTATTTTAAGTAAAAGGTTTCAAATTCAATACTTCCTATACTCCTAGGGGTTAGTCATCCTTATTCTTCAGATGACATATCTTTAAACTAATTTGAATTATGGTAATCGACTCAGAATTTCGGGGAGTAGTTGGTATAAGTCTGAATACCCTATAAAAAAGAAAAATAAAAAGTTCAAAAGTTCTTCTTGTTTTTTATGCTCGATGATTCAAAGGTCCTTGTTTTTTATGCTAGATGATTCAAAGTTCCTTTATTACACGGGAACTATATTGTCAAGACTAATTTGATGCAGTCAAAGGAGTTTTTTCTAGGGAAATGCAGTCAGAGGATTTAAAAGTTGGTGCTTTTTTTCATTGTTATAGGATGTTGAGGTTTTTATTGCTTATTCATTTGAGTTCAAATACTGGTTACCAAAATTCGAGCAAGTTTAAAATATATCTTTTGAGGAATAAGTGTGATTGTCTCTTAAGAAGTATAATTTAGAGGTTAGAATAAGTGTGATTGTCTCTTAAGAAGTATAATTTAGAGGTTAGAATAAGTGTGATTGTCCCTTAAGAAGTATAATCTTGAAACCTCAAGTTATCAGAAATCAAATTTAATCACCAAACTTCAAAAAATTTAGAAGTTGGCGTTTTGCTCCGGGGATGCATGTTTAATATCTTTGACTTAAGATTTAGAGAGTATGCTTGCAACAACTCTGAAGTAATGAGATTTTAATTCATTCGAATCAAACTGCTATGGGTTTAGGGTATCAATGTGACAAGTAGATACATTAAACTACTATACCTACTATTTTTGTTTTATCAAGACGAACCATTCCTATCATTCGTAACTCGAAGTCGTACAGACTACCCTACTTTATACGGAAGACACACAGAATCATTTATAAACTATTTCGTATGACTTTAACCCGGACATCTGTTTCAAAACTTGAACTTAAAATATCAAGGTGTCAATTACCTTCCAACTAACGATAAAATTACAGACATCTAATACAGATACACTTTGTTGTGGTAGAAGTCTTGCATACTGCGCTTTTGAGAGAGAGCGAGAGAGAGAGAGAGAGAGAGAGAGAGGGATTTGTTATATCAAAGTTACTTTCGGGAAGACACCATCGTATCTCATGATCATTCCTTATTTTTTGTGTGCATGAAGACTGTTTGTCTTGGTATATTTTCTCAACTTTAGACTATAATAAAGGCTGACAAGAAGTTCCGGTCAGGGCTCTCATAATCTCCGACGACTTTTAGGCAGGCCACTCTAAGGTGCCTCAGTGAGTTGACGATGACAGTAGGTTGAAAAAATGAAACAAGCTGGTAAAGACACGAGTTGAAATCTTTGCCCACAAGCCACTTGCCCATGCTTTCTCTTTATTTGTTTCAATAAGTCAATTCACAATGGCATGCATGAAAATTCTTTTATATTTAAAAGGTAACATAAATGAATTATAAATTCAACCATTTTGAATTTAAATTTTAATAATCCTATAAGGTCCGATCATAAAAAATTTATTCCTTATGAATATTTTAGTGTCAGCATAAATAGTTTATTTTTGACCTGACCAAAAGAGAATTAATCAAAATGAACATAAGTTGGTCCGAACACCCTTGATTTTTAAATAACAAAAAAAAAATTCAGTAAATTTACGGTACTAAAAAAATAGGTACCACACAAAAAAATTATTATTTTTAATGGTGAAATCATAGCTACTTGACGTATCATAAAATATTATAATAGATTATAAATTATTTTAATTAATTGTAACTTTATCTTCGCCGGTTATAACTTGAACTTAAGGATATGTTCACTTGACTTACGGTATGATGACTCATTGAGTACTATAGTCTTCCTCAAGTTCGTCATACCACCCACCCATAGGTGGTGGTTACTACCATAAGGGTGATTCACTGCAAACATCATAAAAGAAAAACAAGACCAATATATAAATCGCTATATACCGTTGAAGTATAGGAGGGGTTTGAATGATATTGAAACTCTAAATCGATGTAACACTTGGTTTAGTTCCCTATTTGACTAGCCTAGGTTTTGTCTAAGTTTGAGCTCAGTTCATGGTTTAAGCCCAAACATCAAAAAATAGGTTAGGTTTAACTCATGTCTATAGTCCAGCTCAAAACTCAAGAGTTTAAGTAAAGTTAATGCACGTGAAAGAGTAATTATTGGGATGGTCATGACTCTAAGATAGTGTCTATCTCCAATTGTACCAATCCTCTCTAATAAATTAGTAGTTTTACCTTTACGTCACCGCTACAATTAGAGCTCTGTGCATATAAATTGTAAGCTCTCTACACATAGAGGTATAAGATCTCACACACCTTACTTTGAATGTACTATTGTTCTCTCCCTTACAACCTTGTATTCTATTATTAATAGAGTTCTCTAGTCACCGTTGTCGTTTTCAGTAATTAAATTTTTCTAACGCAACTACTCAATATTTGTCTCTTATTATTGATTATTTTATTAATTATTTCACACCACATAGTCGATTGATTTAATTGTGTATAAAATCATTTTTGTGTATATCATCGCTATAAATTATGACCTCGAAGTGATAGTTAAAAGTCGGTCAAAAGATTTAGTTCCTATTGAATAAAATGATTGATTAATTCAATTAAGTTAAAATTAACTTAAATTTGATTAAATTATTATTTTTTTATAAAATTTTGTTAGGATTTAAATTATCAAATTGGATTGGATAATCGGATTAGATATTCGATTATTAATAGATGCGGATATTAATTAAAATTTTTGAAATCCATTGGTGAATGGATCGGATTCAAAACTCAAATTTTTTTTATCAAATTCAGATTTAGATAGATTAAGATCCGCTCTATTGACAACCCTACTCTCTAACAGTAATTTAAATGGTGGGAGACCAAATAATTGTGACAACTGAAGTATGGCGCCTGTCATATAGTAGGTGATGGCCATGCTATTACCAGAAACAAGCACCCATATTTTCTTCTTTTGTCCTCTGGCTTGTATGATGTGGTTTGCAAAATGGCGTCTGTGCAGAATTGGAGCTACATCATTCTTGAGAGAGATTCATAAACAGAGTAGTACAATTGGAAATATTGGACCACATCAAAGCTCACTAGTCTGCTGTTGCAATCATTGATGATCTCAACCTCTTACTGCAGACATACCAAGAACATCAAATGCTCTAGCTCATGAACTAGCACAATGGATCTTATTACAGGATTCACGGGTCTGAAACAGACAGAAGACTTCCCAAATCACTTCCAAAATAAAAAATAAAAATTACTGAAGTATGAGGCAAAGTTGTTAATGATTTTTCTTTTTTGTAGTAATATCGAAAAATTGTATCATTTTCCCAAAATCTTTGCTTTGAGTTATCCCGTAGAGTTAATTACATTGTAAACTTCATATATTTCATCTTATATAACAAAATCTATATTTATGCTGAGTTGAGTCTGAGTTCAGCTGAGTTGAACGTTAGTTTGATCGTGTAAATTTTCATAATAAAATAAACAGTTCTTAGGCTTTTATATGTACACTATGGATAACACGTCACATTCATTCTCATATAGCCATAAGCTGAGGACAAGCCCAAGATGGGTGAGGAGATAACGGCGACGACGGAGGGACGTTAAATATCTCGTTGTCGTTTTGATCCCAAAGTGTTAACGGCCAATCAATCTCACTCTTAGCCTCCACTTCACATTCCGGCAGTCTCTCTTTCTTCGCGATTGTCACCTGGGTTCCCTCCTCCACCTCTCCACTTCTTTTCCGGCCACCGGCCACGGCGGCGTGTGAGTCACACTTTAACTTCCCCGCCTCCAGAGGGAAATTCAGAGTTGCTTTGCTTCCTCGTATCTTGAATGCCGCTCTATCATAAGCCTTCGCAGCTTCAATGGCGGTGTCGAAGGTCCCTAGCCAAACCCTAGACCCGCGACGTTTCGGATCTCGGATCTCCGCCGCATACTTCCCCCACGGCCGTCGTCGGACCCCTCTGTAATGTCTTTTCTCCTCCTCATTGCAAGTTTTTTGCACCAAGGGCATTGGCTGAGTAGACCCGGTGAACTCGAGCCACTCGAATTTCGTCACCGGAGGCAAATCAATCTTCAATGCCGGCTTTCTGTCACTATGAGAACTCGATTGAGAGCTCGAACTGAGAGATTCTAGTGTTTCGAGATCGATTATTTGTGGTTCAGATTCAAATTGGAAGAAATCAGACTGATTTTTCTCGAAATCTATAACAATAGAGCTTGAAATTGATGTTTTTGGTGTGATGAGGTCGATTATTTGAGGTTGTGGTTCAAACTCGAAGAAATTGCTCTCAATTTGCTCAAAGTCGATGGAATCAGAGAAGATATCGAAGAGATCGGTGGTGTCGACTTCGTTGGAGCAGATATAGTCGGAGATACTGATGTCAGAGTCACAGCTTTTTGCTTCGGATTGATAGCTCGAAACCTCAGGTTGCACGGCACCGGTGCAAGTTTCACCGGCGAACGTGCATGAACTACAATCACTAATCCCAGTAACGATGCTATCAGCCGGAAAGAACTCTCCCAGAAGGTGTTTTCTGATGAGTTCTAAAGCCGAAACTTCTTCTGCTGTAGCCATTCTTTTTGCTATATATAAATACTTAAAAAGTCACAGCTTCTCTCTCTATCTAAGAAGCTCTCAAGGAAGAAAACACAGAGATCAGAGAGAGAATCAGTAAGGTGAAGCTAAGTTTTAATGGTTTAAAAGTAGAAGTTTTGGTTGCTCTCTATCAGGGTGATATGTATACAACTTTAGAGAGAGAAAGTACAGAGACATAGAGAGAGTTTGAAATGGAGAGAACTGGGTTTTTTTGGAGAGTGGAAAAGAGTGGAGAGGTATATATCGAGGTGGAGAGGAACAAATTTGTCAAAACACTCCTCCCCCTCTCACAGGGCGATCTTCCAAGGTTGGTTCTAGCGTTGAACAAGGAAGCTTCGGTCAAAGCAATAGTGATTTTGTATTGAGCCTATTATTATTATTAGATCATCTCTCATAGATGACGTAAAACACACAAAATTTTTAAATTTTAACTATTTAGTTCAAAAATTATATTTTCACATAATATCTTTAAAAGATCTAAAATAAACATTTTGCTGCAGTAATATTTATGTAAAAAAAATTTATAATATTTTATCTCTCTTTCTCTCCTTCCTTCCTTTCTCTTTCTTTCTTTCACTATTCCCAAAAAAAAATAATGCAAAAAGAATAAGAAATAATATTTAAAAAGAGTAATTAAAAATATAAAAAATCAGTTAGAGAGTGTATTAAAAAATGAATAATTAAAATAAAAAATATTATTTTTTGAGTAACTAAAATAGTTTTTATTGTTAGAAATTTTCTTAAGTCATCCCTCATATCTGAATCGTTTCTTTATTAACAACACTGCTATGCTGAATATTTCTTAAGTTTTACATGTCAGGTGATATTACACATTAAATAAGTGGCTCTATTAATATTTAATAATAGAGATTGTATCATATTATTTGAAATAAAAAAATTTTATAAAAAATTTGATAAGTATAATATTATTGTTTTACTAAATCTTTGACATCATATGGAATATGGACGGTTGGGATTAATTTCGGTACCATTATTCCAACTTTTCCTACTTTAATGGGTTTTTTTCTAGTTTTTTGAGTCATTTAATAACAAAAAAATTTACCACTTTTATGAATGATTTATCGTTTTTGTGAATATTTTTACCATTATTGTAGGTATTTTTACTATATTTGTGATAAATATGTGTTTTTATTATATTTTTGAATATTTTTACTACGGTTGTAGTAACTATTTTTACAATTTTTTTGTCTCTACACAAGTGATAAAAACACGCATAAATATAATAAAAATAATCACAAATGTGATAAATAAAAATATGATACTGAATTTTTATTTTTTTGGGTACCATAGTTAAGTCCTTCGGATTGAACTAGATGAGATTGTACGGAGATAAATTTGTATATAACTTACAGTTTAATACAAAATTTATAGTCAATAATTTTATATTATTTCTATACCGAGCTGACAAATCGTACCTAGAATTACTTGGTAGAGAAGGCATACGTTTCCATTGGCAAACAGAGACGTAATTGTATCTTGTTAAGGAAGCAAAGTAACGCGTTTAACCTGTGGCGGAGGCGACGATTTTGCTTCGACGGATTTCAGCGTACGTATGTGTCTTGTTTTTTTTTATGTACATATAATTGAATAATATTAGAGGTGCTAAAGACTCGGTAGCTAAAAACGTGGTACAAGGTAAACAGTAATCTAAGACGTAAACAAACCTTCTACGAATGTTCTGCAAAGGCGATTGTAGAAAGGTTTGAGCATGCCTGCACAAGGTTGTATCTGAAATCAATTATCATCTTACATTTGACAATTTTCAACACGAGTTGTAAATTCAATACGAAATTAGTGGGATGGGGTTTAGGTTTATTAGCGGGTTCGAGTGATTAATGGATCGACAGTCGACATAAACCTAGATTGCTTGACGCAACACACTTTTGTGATACACAATGATAAATGAGTTGGACAAATGATGAAATTTTTTAAAAAATATAATTTAACAATAATACTATTTAGACATAATTTAAGAACAACACGAACTTGACATAACGTAAATCACGGATAACCCTAATCTATATAATAAAACATATAAAAAGTTGAATTTTATCTCTTACATAATTTTCTTCCAAAAAAAATCATATAACTGAATCACATCACATGTTTAATTTTTTAATATTTGATTAATTTGTAATTTAAGACAATTTTTATTTCATTCTTTGTTCATACACTAAAGTATACACATGTTGAGAACATTTTGTCCGGTTATACATTTTTGAGAAAATTGACATTATTTTTAAGAAAATAATTTGTAAAAATTAATTTTAAATAATGTAATCAATTTTCTATTTGGTATAATATAATCAATTTTTTGGACGTTAGAATCTTATATTTTATCGTGCTTTCAGGCACGGGATATGTCAAATAATCTAAGAATAGATGTAAGATGACACTGGTTAAAGAGAAAAAGTAATAACTGGAAGGTAATCTGTTTGACTCCAAACAAAAAGACAAACCAAAACTCTAGTTTCGTTGCAGAATTTTTTTTTTTGGTAGGTGAAAAGGGGAGGGGAACCGGTAGATAGTAATCCTCTGAACGTGACCATAAGGATTCTCTATTGTAAAATATTCAATTTTGAGATATAGCTATTAACTTTGAAGGGCAGCCCGTCACCACATCACAACCAAAGTCAAACAACAAATCACATTATTTTTATGGATCAAACTCTGTTTTATAAATACATGAGAGTCAACAACGATGCTAAACAAATACGACTTACGACCACCAAGTCGAGTGGAGTTTCGTCCCAAATTTGAAGATGTTAGTAAACTAAAATTACCCAAAATTTCTCTGTTGTCCTCAATTTTGACGTTGTGTTATCCTCTCCTGTGCCCACTCAAGACAAAATTAAGTTTCACCAAAACCTAAACAAGATAACTGAGTGTAAGCATTCAGGTTAATGCACATAGTCACAAGGGAAGATCGATGTTCGAGTTTTAGATTCAATTGAACCTTTCATATTTAAGTCACAATAAAATAATCTTATTACAATGTGAAAATCTACGCTCAAATTGACCTAAATTTAAGTTTACGCTAGTTGTTAAAATTCATGGAAGACATTAGAAGGCATATAAGAACTCTATTTGGCCACACATTTAATAGAAGCCTGGGGTAAGTGTGTATTCATGAAGAACAGAAATAGTCAATGGTCATGCTTGTGTTAATAAACTAAGGCAACGGTCCTCCTCTGGCATTAACCACTCTCATTTTTTATTATTCCTGATAACAGTTAATATCGAAATTAAGAAGTCTAAGTCCAAGTCGAAGATCTTGGTGCATGTTATGCACAACTATGTATATATATTTACAACAATTATATTAATCCGGGTCAAGCCATATGATCTTTGTATTTAACTAGCTAGGCGAAGGAATTGGGTTAGTGCGGTGCAGAAACTTTCAATTAATTGTAACTTTGATTAACCCTGACTTCATACTCAGATGTCGTATTTGAACAGGGGCGGAGTCCTGAATATCAATGAGGGGGTTAAAATATAATTTAAAATAATTCACTTAACGATATAATAAAATTAAGTTCAAGAATGACAAAAAAATTAAGACTTGAGGAAAAAGTAAATTCAATTTTTATTTAACCGAAACAAAATCTGTACAAAAAGATACAAAATAATTTTTTTAACTAATTTACTATCAATGCGTACAATTACAAATCCGTAGTAAAATCATTTTTCATTTAGTTGTAAAGCTTAGTTGAGATTGAAAAATTCCCTATTCAAAATAACTTGAAATATTTATGGGTTAAAATATTTTGTCTTTTATATACAATCGTATTTTATTGGGTTAATAACTATTATCACTAAAAAAATGGTAAATAAAATTAAAAATTATTCTTAAAAAATAGCAAAAATTGTGTTAGATAAAACAAATATTGCTTTTTGATTAATATACAAATATATCAGGATAGTTACATTTAATTTATTCAATCCAAAAATAAATTATTTATTTTAGAGGGTTAGTGGACCACTAATTTATTAAAAAACGAAAAGACTAAACCATTATCGAAATTTTTAAAAATTTAGGGAGGACAAATGTAATGTATTAAATAATTTGTTTGTCCTCATCAAAAGTTGTCCAAAAGTGGGCGAGGGGAATGTCAACCCTTGTCCCCTTGTGACTCTGTCCTTGCATTCGAGGTGGGTTTTTTCTTTTTTCTTTTTTTTGTTCCCTGTTGTTGAAGGTCTAATACGATTGGGGCACGAGACTTGGAGAAAAGTAAATCGCATTCATTTCTAGATTCCACTGCGATTATATTATTTAAGGAGGGAAAATAGTGAGAGTCTATTGTGAAACGAATTATAATGAGGACATTGTCTAAGGATGTGTGAAATCACTCATACTAGAGACAACGTAAGCTTTTATTTATTAATCTTTCAGAAGACTAGTTACAACACACAACCAAGTTTGACATGGACTACATTGAATTTTACAGCCGTAGTTCAGATTACAAAAGTCTCCTTAGGATTAATTTCAGATCTTGTTTTTACATTGATCAGCAAAAGAAATTTCATGTGTGAAAACTAAATCTTATTTTTCAATGCCTAGATCAGGTTAGGGGCAATGGATAGTGGGTGAAGTTGACATTTATCGGTAGGAATGACTAAGATCTGAGTCGCGGCATTTAGTCCGCGACCCATGGGCAATGGCTCAAAAATCTGACAATTCAATGGATATGGCTTGGCCAGCCAATTTGTTGGGTCGACCGTTAGGACTGTGTTTTTTTTTTTACTGTTATATGTATAAAGGCTAATTTATCGGTCCATTACCATCTCAAAAAGTCTGAAAAAATTGATAAAATTTTGAGAAAAATCCCAAAATTTTTAAAAGATTGACAAATTAGGTTCGAATCAATGAAAAGCTCGCTATTAACTCAATATATATGTGCGCGATGGTCAATCTGTGGGCTACCCTTTTTTCGGATCAACCGGCCCGCTTGATTTAGTACTCAAACATGCTAGGGTTGTTAAGTAGTTGTTATAGAAAATGTGTATATAATTAAATTATATTAAATTGTATAAAGTTTAATGTATGCACTAATTTACACAGAATGTATAGAAATAAAAATCAATACACTTACATTGATGCAGAACAGTATGAACAGTAAAATTCAGAAAACTAGAATCCAATAATAA